GGGGGGTGTGATTGGAGCTGGGGGGAGACGGTGCCAACCCCTGTGTGGGGGTTTTGCCCCCACACAGGAAGGGGCAAAGGGTGCGAGCCCCTTGCCACGGGTGCAAATCGGGTTGGAGGGTACAAGGGGGAGCAGGGAGGGTTTTATTTCCCCTCTCAGGGAGATACGTGCCTGGGCACAGGGCCCCTTCCTGTTTACTCTTAAAGATACAGCTGCCTACTGTCTTGTCTCTCCCTGCCAGCTCCTGCAGTCCCTCCCTCTGCAGTGCCACAGCACTGGGGCAAAATGCTGTAAGCACCCTACATGCAGCTGGGAGGGAGCATATAACCGGGCTCGACAAATCAGTGAATCTACTTGCCCGTGGTGAGTAGATTTCAGCCGGTCGCCCCGTTCACCAGCGGCACGCACATGCGCAACGCGGGTCTGGTGCATGCGCAGTGCGGGGCTGGCGAGTAGATTTCGCTGCAGTTTGTCAAGCCCTGCATATAACACACACACAGTCTTTAATCAGTTAATACATGAAGTCTCATCACAGTTCAAATATTTGTCTGATCTCTTGCAGTGAGTCCCTGAATTGCACACCCATCCTTCTAACCCATTTTAATGCTCTTTTACAAATGTTATTTCTATTACTCTTTTTAGGGGGCTGCACTCCCTGCTTGCTATGCTCCCAACTGGGGGCGGGCCGTGGATGCAGGCAACCTCAGCAGTTGCCTAGGGTGCTGCGTTAAACGGGGCGCCCAATGATGACGTCATGCCATTGAGGACTATGGAGGTGGGGGCGCCGATTACGCATTCTGCCTAGGGCGCCAGCTGCCGGCAGCTCACCTTGAGCCACTCCTGCTCCCAACCAAACCCCCCTAGTCTGGGGGTTTGAATGAGTGGGGTGGGAGTGCAGGGTCTAGGCTTGGGGAGTGGGGGAGGCCACTTACGTGCTTTAATGCTGCTCCCAGTGCTATAGCTCAGGTCCCGTCTACTGCTGCTTTTTAAAATCTAGCTGAATCAAAGCTGATCACAAGACAAAAAACAATGAACAGTCAGGAAAGGATATGCCTAGACCTCTCTGTAAGCTCCCCTAGCCTCATGTGCAACACTCCATTAGTATATAGAATGGAGACTAGAAAGTCCAAGGCAAGAACCACTTTTTGGGGATCCAAAAAGCAGGGAAGCATTACCAGAGGGGAAATCCCTGCTGCAGATGATACTGAATCCTCACCTACATGCACACCAAGAAGTAATTATCACAATTCCAGTACAAAGTCCTCTATTGGTATCCAAAATAGTGAAGCTGCCTAATAGCAGTACAAGGGTCTGCAGGCTGTGATGCTTGGGGCTCCCTCCCTTCAAGGGGGTGAGCCAGTTCCCCTTGTGGCACCAGTTTGCCCTGCTGTGTGGGGGTGGTGGGGACATGGAGGAGCACGTCTAAGCCTCATGGGCTGGATCCATGTTAGTCATGTTAGTCCATGTTAGGTTGCATTCAGCCCATGGGTGCTGCCTGGGAGGTGGAGGACGCGGCTTTTTGAACAGCAGCGCACGGAAGGTCTAACTCTATGCTAGATCTATATTCATGTTTAGGCTACACCTCAGTCACTTCCACTGGCTAGGAATTGCAGCCAGTGGGAGCATGAGGTGGGGTGGGGAACAGTTGCCTGCAAGCACATGGCTATGTGGAGCCCTCCCCTCCCCGATCTGTGCTAGGTAATTGCCCCCATCCCTTGCCCCCTCCTCCTGCCCAGAATATGCACCCTTAGTCCCCTCCCTCATCCGCTTTCCTACAAAAGCTATAAGCCCCATGCTCCAAGCCCCTGGCACTGGTGGGAAGCCCTGAGCCTTGGCCCCCTCCCACTTGTGTAGCAGGTAGTGAAATGAGTGTTGTCCTCTCTTTTTTCTTGCTTCTGAAGAGGGGGCCACATCTGTGTGTGTGTGTATGGGGGGGGGTTCCTCCCTGGGGGGCAGGTGTCATTGAGGGGTGGTTTTTTTTGTTTTTTTGTTTTTTTTTTGCTTCTCACCTGCATGTTGCCCCTGACCCAAATAAAATTCCCCAATACCATAATAGGGACTCAGGGAGGGGGGGAGAGAAGGAGGATACTTATTGTTCTCTCTCTCAGACAAGGGTATTGTTCTCTCTCTCTCTCTCTCTCTCAGACAAGGATGATAGAATTGAGGAACTACCCCCAGCCTCATCTGCATTGAAGATAGGACAGACAGATATCTCCATTAGAATACAGAATGGAGAACAGCACTTCCAAAGCATGAACCACACTGAACTATGGGATACTGAAAGCAGGAAAGCAATACCTTGTGGGAAATCTCTGCTCCAGATGCTAATGAACTCATGTCTGCACGTCCCCAAATCAGTAATTATCAGACCCATTGTAGTAATAGATACTCTATTGATTTCCAAAATACTGAAACTGCATAGTTGCATTATTCTCTCTGAAGGCATGGCACCCATCACCATGAATGAGCTACAAAAGTGTCAAATACTCCCTGAATAGAATAGAATTCACATTTTGATTACCAGAAGAGCCAAAAGCTTGATCCTGCCAAAAGTCGTCGTAAATTTTGTCATCGACTTCAGTGAGAGCAGAAGAAAGTCCAAAATGTCACATCTGTTAAACTGTTATTTTACACTAAAATTAAACTACATTTTAATAATACTAGGGGGCTGTGCCTGCTGCTTGCTACACTCGGCAACCTCCCTCTCTCTGGGGGAAGGGTGTTTGGCTCGGGGAAAGGGGCAAAAGCAGGCTGGGGGTAGGTATCTGGCCAGGGGGCAGGAGCAGTCTGGGGGTGCAGGGTCTCAATGGAGGGTGTGTGTGAAGAGGCTGGGGGGGCAGTCTGGGTAGGGTG